ACAATATTTGGAGGATATTGTTAATGGCAGTAGTTCCACCTGTTTTTAAATTGCTTTTCTGAGATGTGATTTTGCCTTCTGTCCTGAAATTCCCCTGCCAGTTGGCTCAGGGAAGAATGGGCAGCTTACACTACCCTCTGATGGCTGTAAGATTCATTGCCATGAGAGCAAGGGGTTAAGTTACATGGCTGTGGGTTGCCCGACCGGGGACTGGCTGAGCCAGTTGTCAGCAATAACCATATGACAGAGAAAATCTGAGCCTCCACAAACACATCCCAGATTTCATAATCAGAAAATCCAGACAGAGCTATTTTTATTTTAACAGGCACATAACTTTTGAGTAAGTATGGGCATGAGATGGCACCACACACTTTTCAGTGCTTGGGGCATCTAAATATCTGAATCCAGTCTTGAATAAATCAGTTTACCTAATTCTTTATATGTTCTGTTTCCTTAGGTGCACGGCTGTATTCAATACTAGCTTAACTTGCAAGGTGCAAAGATTCTGCAAGGCTGACTGAGTCCGGGAAGCTGCCCTTGGTACTCCAAAGCCTTGTTAGTGATTATGAGTTTAGCACAGTCAAGGAGTTGGTTTTTAAAAATTATTTTAGTGCCGGGCATGGTGGCTTATGCCTGTAATCCCAGCAATTTGGGAGGCCAAGGCAGGTGGATCACCTGAGGTTGGGAGTTTGAGACCAGCGTGATCAACATGGAGGAAAACCCATCTCTACTAAAAATACAAAATTAGCTGCGCATTGTGGCGGGGCTCCTATAATCCCAGCTACTCGGGAGGCTGAGACAGGAAAATCGCTTGAAACCAGGAGTCAGAGGTTGTGGTAAGCCAAGATCACGCCATTGCACTCTAACCTGGGCAACAAGAGTGAAACTCCAACTCAAAAAAAAATTATTTTTATAAATGTGTATTTTTATTATGGAAATATGGAGTATGGAGAACAATATAACAAACATTCATGCAGTCATGACTGAGAATTATCAGTGTTAACAAATGTTAAATCCTGCCATATTTATTTCAGATCTCTTTTTTAAAAAATAAATTAGACATAAAAAAAAGTTACACCACTCCCTTTAAGCACTTGATTTTTCCCTCTCTTGTTTTCTAATATTTCCATGTTGAGTGAGTATAATTATCTCAATTTTATGGTGAGCATTTTGGAAATAAGAGCAAACTATTTGCTGTTACTTGGCCCAGCAACTAGCAGTTTCCAGTGCATAGTAGATGCTCAATAAATGTTGAATAAATGAGTAAGTGAATAAAATGTTTTATTTAAAAATTTTTTTAAAAAATTAATTTAATTTAATTTTTATTTTTGAGATGGAGTCTCACTCAGTCACCCAGGCTGGAGTGCAATGGCACGATCTCAGCTCACTGTAGCCTTTGCCTCCCAGGTACGGGCAATTCTCCTGCCTCAGCCTCCCAAGTAGCTGGGACTACAGGTGCACACTACCACACCTGAATAATTTTTTTTTTAAGTAGAAATGGGGTTTCACCATGTTGGTCAGACTGATCTCAAACTCCTGACCTCAAGTGATCCTCCCACCTGGGCGTCCCGAAGTGCTGGGATTGCAGGCGTGTGCCACCACGTCCGACCATGAAATGTTTTTTTCTTTTGTCATCCTCCTTTATGCCTCCACGCACTTTCCTCATTGGGGTTTCTTTGGCTAATAATAGTTCCTATCCTTAGCTCAGGGATGGAATTTAAATTATATAATATATGGGTTTTGAAAATTATGCAATCAGGTTTCTTTTTTTTTTTTTGAGATAAATGAGTAAACATTGCTAAATCAAAAGAAAGAATACACTTTAATTCCACCTACAAACTTAACCAGCTTTCTGGTATAAGACCTTACAGAAATGGAACTACTATTGCATATATCCTTCTGTAGCTTGTTTTTCCCCCCACCCCCCGCTTAATGATGAGTACTTTTCTAAGTCATATTTTCTGCTCAGTAATTCCTCACTTCTAAAGTCCTGGGGGGAGTGGGGACTGCCCTGTGACGAGTCATGGGGTCTCACCACAGGTAAGAGGACGACAGTGTGGCTGGCTAGCTGACCTTTCATGCATTCCATGGGAAGAAGTCTAGCTGGCCAGACTATTTCTTAAGGACCGGTGAGTTTCACAGCAGACTCCTGGGCTGGACATTGATTTGACATGTTTGTGAACTAGCTAGTTTACAAAATCTCAGATGGAAATATTACTGTTTTCTTGGCCTATAGGCTGTCTGGTAAAGGCTTTTAGGAGTAGAAGCATTTAAAGTTAGCCCTGGGTTTAAATCTTAGCTTAGCTACTTGTCAGCCTTGCAATCTTGGGCAAGCTACTAAACCCCTCTGACAGGGCTCTACCCTGTGAGCTGTGCCTTTTCCTCTCCCAGATCGAGGTCCCCTCTGCTGTGGAGCCTGGAGAGTTGGAGAACCGGGTCCACAGTCATTCAGCAGAGCGTTGCTGGGGCACCTCATGTGTGCAGCTCTCTGCTAGCAGGGCCCCAAGCGGACTCTTTGGCCCAGGGTCTGGCTGGAAGACTAAGCTGGCGCACATGTAGGAGGTGAGCTAGATTTCTGAAGAGGAAGGTGTGTGGGTATCAGAGAAGAAGGCTCAGATCTGTGACACTTGCAGTCAGGGATTTTGGAGGCAACTGAGACAGTCCTCTTACTTGAAAGATGTGAACAGAGGCCTCCAGAGGTGCAGAGACTCAGACACTTAGCTCATTAGTAGAGATACAGATGGATCAGTTCCCAGCTCCAGTGACCATCTGCTGCCTCATCCCCTTAGCTTAGAGGCTATTTATTATTAAGGGTTTTATTGAAAAAAAAATTTCTGCATTTTTTCATTTGTCTTTTTCCCCCTGTGTTCTTTTATTTTAAGTGTTTCACTATTTATTTATTCATTTATTCATTTAAGACGGGCTCTCACTCTCTTGCTCAGGCTGAAGTGCAATAGTGTGATCTCAGCTCACCACAACCTCCACCTCCCAGGATCAAGGGATTCTCCCACCTTAGCCTCCCAAGTAGCTGGGACTACAGGCGAGTGACGCCACATCTAGCTAATTTTTAAATTTTTTTTGTAGCGATGGAGTTTCACCGTGTTGTCCACTCTGGTCTCGAACTCCTGAGCTCAAGTGATCCACTCACCTTGGCTTCCCAAAATGCTGGGATTATAGGAATGAGCCACCGTGCCTGGCCTCACTATTTATTTAGACAAATATTTCACATCCATGATTCTGTCCAGTTAAAAGTCCTTTCTGAGGTGATGCTGTTGGCTTTGGCCAATTGGAGAATGGAATAATCTGTCTCACTCATCCTGCGAATGGGTCTCTGGATAACATAGGTTTTAAACTGGTCGTTAAACCTGCCCATAACCTTGTCAATATCGGCCACGTCCTTTCGCATGGCCGAATGGTCCTTGGCACCGGTAATGTGGTTGCTGGTGGAGCGTTTCCATGGGATGTACAGGTTTATGAACTCACTGGCATTCTGCATATTGAGACCACACTGGGCATGAACAGAGAAAGCTGTTTTGTTTTGTTCTCTGACCATTAAAGCTTTCTTCACATGCTGATGGCCTCTGATAGCCTGTTTATATTGAAGGGCCAGCCAGTCACTAGAAGGTTTCTTGAAAGTTCTGTGGATTGTTGTAGGCAGCAGTTCTCCACTGGGGCAGTTTTGCCCCCAGGAGACATTGGCAATGTCTGGAGACATTTTTGGTTGCTGCAACAGGAGGGTCGAGGGTACAATGCTGCTGGCATCTACTGGTAGAGAGCAGGGATGTTGCTCGGTATCCCGTAATGCACAGGACAGTCCCACAACAAACTACTAGCAGCCCCAGACACCATAGTGCCAGGCTGAGAAAGCCTGCCCTGGGCCAATCAGGCGGGCACCAGCCCTTTCCTCCATATCTGTTTCTTTTGAGAGGATCTGTTTCCCTCCTGAGAAACCCATCCCTCAAGAAACCTGGAAGGCAGGGGGTGTGGCCCAAGCATTTAGAAGCCAGATGCACTCAGTAAGCAGACTTTCAGGCATACCCGCTGTTTTCAGTGTAGAGTTTCTGATATAAGAAAACAGTGCAGAACTTCTGTGAGTCAGCTTCCCCGGAGAGCAATCTCCCGACATCCATGAGGTGGGCAGGGGAGTGGCCAGGCTGCTCAGTCTTGGGAAGAGGACCTGGTGGGGGAATGCATGGGGCATTGGGGAGAGGGTTGTCTAACTTTCTTGTGCAGACCTCAAACAATCCTGCTCTTAGCTCCATTTTGCACTCCCACCTTCACTGGCCCTGGGGACCTTCCATTCCTGAGCCTTCCTGAGTTGTTCACTGCAAGTAGATCTGCTTCTGGCAGCCAGTCAGACGTCCACTCTCTGGTGGAGGCCCATGACCTGTGCTTTTCATCTTCCAGCGTGTTATTGCTGGCCCCTTCTAAGGCCTTCTCCGCACATGCATATCTGAATTTATCCCTTTGCTGTCATTTTAGTGAGCGTTGGGGAAGGAGTCAAGATAAACGTGTGCTGAGTACACATCTTGAACCAAAAGCGGTATCCTTGTGTGCTGGAATACTGCAGATTTTATTCAAAGCTCTCAAGTGTGTCTGGCTTCTGAGGAGGACACAATGCTGGTGCTGGCTTTGTGTTAGGACTCTCTTCTGGCTTAACTAGAGTCAGGAATTGAGGGATGGCATGGTATAGGAGGTAGAGGCGGTCTGTGACCTTCGTCTTGCGAAGTCTCAATGTCCCTGTGTGTGAAATGCGTGCTCTCAGCCCTGTGGTACAGATGGAGTTAGAGGATGCTTGCAGGAGAGCAGAGGGCACTGCGGACCAGAGGGCTGTGGCTTGTCATCACCATCCTCACGGTCCGAGTCAGTGCCATCATCTCCTTTAACTGCATGACCAAGGGCATGTGTCACTTGGGCACAGCGACAGAATGTGGCTCTCTGGTAGGCAGGCTTAACCCAGCAAATGAGCATGAGTACCAACTGCCTCGTTTTCTTGCCAGAGGCCTCCCGTTTGGTTGGCAGAGTGGTGACCAGCTGACCAATTGGACGGGGCTCTTTAATGTCACGGATGATCCAGCAGTGCAGAGCGGCAGTGACTCCAGCTCCAGGTACAGACCCCAGCAAATGGCCAGGGAGGGGGGAAGCCTGACCCGGGGTGGCCCTGCAGCCCCTGCCACATTGTGTACTTCATAGGGTGGAAGAAGCAGGCTTGTTCTGGTGGCTCAAAAATCCCTGCACTCTGGTGTCCTACCTGGTTCCTTTAACTTGAGGGTGAATGAATTTGAAGGATGAGGCATAGGACCCAACCACAACCAAGTAGGGATTCACTGGCCCCTTCTATCGGGGGGTAGGGTGGGAGTCCTGATCTCAAACTTCCATTTAGGGGTGGGGGCCAAAGCTCTGTCTCTGCTGCAGGGATTTCAGATATCAGCCAGCAAGTGTGTGGAGGGGTGTGTGTGTGGGTGGCATCAAGAAGTGGGTGTCAGGTGGGTGTTCCCTGCTTCTCTGAAGTCCCCTGCCCAGGCAGTCCCTGCTCTGCCCATTGGGGAGGTTGCCGTTGGCTGAAGCGGAACCATTCCCATCAAGATGGTGCTGAGATTTGCTATGCACTCCATCACGTGGTTATTTCCTCTTGATCAGTAATATTTGTTGAATGAATTGAAATGAAATATTCTCAGGCTGGGCACACTTATTGCAGGGAGGGTATTGTAAAGAATTTTTGCAGACGAGGCAGGATACTATTTCTGCTGGGAGCTGGGTGTGACTGGAACCTGCCAGCTAAGCGTTCCCAGGGGCTGATTAAGCTGTTTGGTTTCCTGATTTTTGTATTTCTGAGCACGGGGTAACTCTCAGGTCCTTTTTCCTGAGAGAGAGGCTTGTAATTTTGTTGCTGGTGATTTTGACACACAGACATTAAATTGACCCTGCAGAGGAAAAGTAATGGGTTTTTCAAGGACCCCTGATATGTATGTATTTATTCAATGCTCTGATGTCAGAAACCAGTCAGGCAAAGGTCCACAGACAGGCCTGAGGGTGTGGGGTGGCCGCACGCCGTGGCCTGGGCTGGAGGGTCTTATGCTGGCCTTTGGGCCACAGTTCCTTCCATATAAGTGCAGAGGGGGCTCTGGATGTCACAGGTGAGGTGGGGGCGCATGCTTGTCCTGGGATGCCGAGCCTCCCATGCTGGCCTGTCTGCTGAGCAGCCTGCCTCCCAGGTGGTGAGCAGTCTAGGTAGGTCAGCAAGGGTGTACCTCCCTACTGGACTCCTGGGAGAGTTCTTTAAGAGGTTTGAGGTAGAACATGTGAGTCAAGGCCAGGCATGGTAGCTCAGGCCTGTAATGCCAGCACTTTGGGAGGTTGAGGCGGGCGGATCACTAGAGGTCAGGAGTTCAAGACCAGCCTGGCCAATATGGTGAAACCCCACCTCTACTAAAAATACAAAAATTAGCCAGGCATGGCGGTGCAGCTACCGAGGAGGCTGATACAGGAGAATTGCTTGAACCTGGAAGGCGGAGGCTGCAGTGAGCTGAGATTGTGCCACTGTACTCCAGCCTGGGCGACAGAGCGAACCCCTGTTTTTTAAATAAAGAAAATGCGAGTCAAGTAAGCAAGGCAGACACACGGGCCCCTGGGAAGCTGTTTCTGGGCAGATGTCTCCAGGCAGTGGCTGAAACCAATGCCATTGCGTGGGCTCCATTCCTAACTTTTCTTGCTCCCAGCATCTTTTGTCTTTCCTTCCTCTTGCCACGGTTTCGCCCGTAACTTCCCTCCCCCTCTCACCGCACCTGTGTTATCCTCTGCCTTTCTTCCTGTTACCTGTTCTCGGCCCTCCTTCCTTTCTCCCTCTCTCCTCCACGTCCTTGCTTCTCTATCCCTTTCTCCCTCCCCTATGCTCCTTATTTTCTCTGCCCCTCTCTCCACGACCTAGGCCAGCTTCCTCTTTCCTATCCGCTGGGAGCCCACAGGGTCAGAGACCCAGCTGACATCTGTTAAGTCGGTTTTGGAATTCAGGTGCCTTTGATGCAGCGTCATTACCAGCTGAGTTGACTTCCTTCTGGAGCGCTCCCATTTGAGCCAGAATTTCCTTAATCACAGAAAAAATGGCATGAACACAACTCCCACATTTTCCTGGGACAATTCCAATTTCAAATCTCCACTTCTAGTTGACCCCAAAATACCCACCTGGTTGAAGGACTGCAGTATGTGGAGTCTCCACATGTGGGAAATAATGGTTAATGTAGTTAAAATGGAACCGGATGTTGAAGATTTTTCACGCTGGCATGTGAGCAGCTCCTGCCTTCTTTAAAATGGGCAGGACAGCTCCTGGCAGCAGATGTGCAGAGCTTGGGGGAGGACCTAACGAGGACACCATGTACGTTGTCCCAATTAACAACTCTCCAAATCTGGAAGATGGGATGAGCTTCATGGTATTATTCACCTATTGAATAATTCAGTGCATGCCATGTTTTGCTATCTATAGTTGTGTGGTGTTGAAGTGTGGTACAACCCGTTATCATTTATTATTAACAGTTTGGAAAGGAAGTCAGGAAGTACCAAATATAACCAGAGGATGAAGAGGGGCAAAAAAGCAAATGACTCATACATAGTATACACTCAAGCAGGAGCCACAGGGAGAAGGAACCAGTCCAAATGATTAGTCCGGAAAACTCCAACAGGACCACAAAGCAAATCCAAGCCAGATAGTGCTCATAAAAGGCTATGGTCAGATGTTCCTATTGGTCGCAAGCCGGGGGAAGTCCAGGCTGAATTAGAAAGGTGCAAGCTATCAGATATACATTGACATATAGCTTTATTAGTTTCAAGTCTAGGTCTATAAAGTGTTGTCCAATAAGCATCCTTAGGGGAACTGCTTTAATGAACGTACAGGAATAATTTTTTCTTTTCTTTTCTTTCTTTTGAGACAGAGCCTTACTCTATTGCTCAGGCTGGAGTGCAGTGGTGCAATCCCCACTCACTGCAACCTCCACCTCCCAGGTTCAAGCAATTCTCCTGCCTCACCCTGAGTAGCTGGGACTACAGGCACCTGCCACCAGGCCCGGCTAATTTTTGTATTTTTAGTAGAGATGGGGTTTCACTATATTGGCCAGGCTGGTCTTGAACTCCTGACCTCAAGTGATCCACCCACCTCAGCCTCCCAAAGTGCTGAGATTACAGGCATGAGCCCCTGCACCCAGCCAGAATAATTTTCAATCAGCAAATATTCCTATTTAGGTGGATGTTTTGCACAAGTAGGAAGGCCTGTGAAGACATTCCTCATGTGTTTATGTTTCCGTCTTCTCAGCAAGACAGTGATTGTGCATCTTCAGTTTTGAATTCTCAGCACCCAGCGTGGCACATGTTATGTAGTAGGTACTCAATAAATGTGAATTATGTCAAAAAAAAAATTAAATAAGCAAGGAAATAGTAAAGGCTATTGGTAAGAAAGCAAACTTCGATTTCAGTGTTTCTGAGTTTTCCCTTAGAAATTTATTCCTTTGGATTCAGCCTTGTCTCCTGTCACTGACTTTGAAAAGTTGTCTCCTTTCTGGAAACACTTTAGAACCAGAAACTCATTCACAGGCTGGAATTGCCTGATTATTTTCTCTTGAAAGGAGCTGACAGTAGGGCAGGCTGAGTGTGCAAAGGAAGACTGATAGTTGTTGGGGGTGAGGTATAAAAAGTAGAGATGGGGCAGTGAAGGCAGATGACATACTCCTGCGCTAGCTGACTACTTCCTCCTGAGCACCCCTCACCGAGCATGGCCCCTCTGGAGAGGCGGAGGTTAGCGGGTACTTGACCTTCGTGGTCAGCTCCAACCCTGATCCCTCTGGCCTGGCCTAGCTGCCTGTCTGCCCAGCAGCTGCTCAGAGAGTAGGGGAAGGGAGTGGCGCCCTCATGGTCGTGGTCTCTGTCCTGCAGGGTGGGCAGTGTTGCATGTACTGCCTCAGGACTTCCTGGGAAAACATCCCCCTCTTCAGTCGCAGAGACAGAGGACAGCTGACGCAGGAGTCCTCCAGGCACTGTCCCAGCAGAGTTGACTGTCAGTCTGGCCCATCGCCACAGCACAAAGGGCTTCACTTAGCTTCTGCCAACTGCACCTGGCTCCACATCCAAGTCCTTGTCCTCCCACCAGTACGCACTTACTCCTTGAAGCCTTCCCTGCTAGCCCCAGCCCACCTGAATCTCCTTCAACTCTGCCTTCTGTAGATACGCCTGCCTCCAGGGCAATTTCTGTCATGCACACACGGGGAACTCTCTGGCGAGTGTACATAATCCTTCTGTGTTTGCTCAAGTATTCCCCAAATCCCGAGGAGCCTCTGGCCTTGGAGAACTGGGCTGGACCACCTGTGCAAGCATCTCCAGGACCCTCTGGATCCTCTACATCTAGGCACAGCCGTAGGCTCTGTGGCTGGCTGGACTTACTGGCCCCTTTTCCATACTCCACACCAATCTTGTCCCTCCGGGTCTTACCACTGGAATGAGCTGGCAAGAGTGGGTGTGGAAGGCAACTCAGGAGACACTTCTCTCTAGACATGGTGATGCATGCGTGTAGTCCTAGCTACTCAGGAGTCTGAAGTCAGAAGATCATTTTAGCCCAGAAGTTCGAGGCTACAGTGAGCTGAGATTGTGCCACTGTGCTCCAGCCTGAGTGACAGAGTAAGACCTTATCTCAAAAAATAACAATAATTTAAAAACCCCAGTAGATCACTCTGTACAATTGTTGTCAAAGCTGCAGGGTTGATCTCAGACAAGATGATCTTAGGGTCTCTCATCTCCACCTTCCCTGTCTCTTCCACTTTCTATCTTCTCTATCCTCCTCCCTCCCACCTTCCCAACTGTGCTTAGTGTTTTTCCGATTGTTGCCTCTGAAAAATGTATCCCTCCACCTGCTTCTGGCAATTATGCATTTCAAAGAGGAGCCCTTGGGGGCAGTGTGACCCCTGCAGTCCTGAATGCCAGAATGCCATCATGGCCAGGCTGAGGGCAGGGCAGCGGAGGAAGTGCACTCCTGCATGGCAGGTGAGGCTGGCTCGCTTAAGTCTTCCTGGTCAATGTTCACTTCTGCAGGAAAGGAGGGAAAAAGCCAGAGCTCTTGGGCTTCACCCAA